TAGTAGTACACCATCTCCTCTGTTTAGAATTCAAACATAAATTAGCAGGACTTGAAAGGAGAATAGAGCTAAGAAAATGATGTGTACATACGTACAATGTAATTCAGATAAAGCAGTTTGAAAACTGAGTTATATAATTCCAACAGGCACAGTTTCATATTAAGATTACGAAGAGTTTCATAAAGTCTTAAGACACAGTTGTCCACTTGATAAATCACCAACTGACTGCACCAAGGAGAGTCCACAGCAAGTGGAAGTGCAAAAGCACACTCACACTCTGTCCTTCGAGATTTTATTTTACCTGAAGAGTATTTAAGTTACATTTGAACCAATTCAATCCAGGACAATTGAAGTTAGTCAGAAATTATTCAGTTATACAAGAAATGGCTGGACAGGTGATAAACCTCAGTAATATTGATTAATTAATCATGAAGGCATAAAAATAAATTAATGCTTCACATGATGCTAAAACCAATTTTTTCCATTTTGACATTGATTTCACAATGCCCACATAAAATTATAATTACGCTTACAATACAGTCAGTTTCCTTTGCTATTTTCCTCCCCACTTTTCAGACTGATTTGTTTAGAAAGAGTGCAAAACTCGATAGATAACACAGTTAGTGCTTCATTCCAATTCATTTGCAGATAGAAGGGCCTCTCAAGGAGAGCAAAGCAATGAAGGATTTTGTTGGGCTCAAGAAAACAGCAAAAGCCAAATAGTGCGGACTGCAGTTCTCACTACAGCTATGGCAACTGCATTAATCTCACCCCCTCAGAGACTTTGTTACAAATTAGAGCCACAAACTGGCACATACTGCATGCACCCACATATACTACTACTGTATGAATCCAGTGTAAAAGATGCTAGATGCTTGTCATTTCCACCAAAATCAGATTGATACAGGTTTGACAATATAAGAAAGAAACTTTCATCCAGAAGGCAGAGTTCATCACTCTAATATGCATTAATAAATCCATAATCAACTTTAGAAACAAACTAGAGCAGCATGATTCAAATGCAGACAAACACCAGCATCTCATGCACAGACAGGCTTCTTCGGAGGCAGATCAGCAAGAAAACAATTTACTTTATTTCACCTTGTATTACAAATTCCTCTCAGTTCAGCATGCCATGTATACTGAGTCATTAAGAAAATACCAAAGTCTGCAGTGTCTGCATGAATGAAAAATTATCAAATCAAAACTGTGAAGTTGAAGAAAAAAACTACCTGCAGCAGCACGTAGCTGCTGATATCTGCTTGTGTTATGAATATTAAAATGAACTTCCTTAGTTATCCATTAAAACATAGCAGTACTCAAGAAAAGCACCTAAATTTTCACCTTACAGTGTACTAACAGCAACAAAATAGAAAAGGAACGAAGATCTGGAAACTGAAGTGTTTAGATTATATGGTGCAAGTAAACAAGCTTTTCAAATCTCCCAGCAAAAAAATAAGTTGCACTCAGCATACATAAGGCCTGTTGCAATATCTACTGGAGTGACCACATACCCAGAGAGCACACAGCAAAGCTCACCATTTCAGAAAACTGCCAAACTTGGAGCCTGCTGCTGAGCTGCCACACGAGTTCTGGGTGAAAAAGCATCCGTGTGACTTACATTACCTACAGGACACGACAAACCTAAAGTCACTCTACTGCATCACACCCGAACTGCTACTGCTTTTAGTGAATCCAGGCAGAACTTACCTACACCACAGATGTGATGATGTTTGTTTCTTAACAAAGATCATCAGGGAAGTAAGATCCACGAAATGCTGCTGCTAACCGCTAGGTGTCAGCATAGCAAAGTGCACGGACGACACCCGCGGCGCAGATGACAGCTCTCATTGTTCCTCCCGGTTACCAATCCACACAACTTCGAAGTACTACAAACAACCCAAAGGTACAGCAGTACGATAAAAACATCCCCTCCACAAACGGCAAAAAATTGGGCACTTTTAAAAAATCGTTCAGTGGAACAAAGTGCTCCCAATGGCATCCCTGCTTTAAGTAACATTCTTAATGTGAACAATCTGCATCAATCTGCATACAGCCAAAGCAAACACACCACTTCTAAAGTGATCTACCGAGCCTGACAGCAGCAGAGCTTTATGGAGATGTAAGTACACCACATGGAAGAGATATACTTTCAGGCAATCAATCTGGCTTAAAGCAATTTCCAGAAGCATGTATGCACAGTAGGAAACATAAATGAATCAGCGACCATGTTACATCATCACTTCTGATTGCAGTTGCAGTTTGCACTATCTGGATGTGCGTTTTCTTGCAGAAGTCGTAGCTACTGAACTCCTCAGAAGGTTCACAGCAGCAGCGACTCCCTTTTTGTGCTGGTTTGGATGTACAGTACGTAAGACCACAATCTTTGGATTAGAAGCTTCCAGAGTAAGAGCTCATCTAAGGAGACGGAACTGCATGAGAGCAAAGAGCGGAATTTCCAGAGCAGCATCTGAAGTGCTCCACACCAGAAAACAGTGCTTTAAGCTGCAAGATGTCGGCTACGTTCCAAATTGCCAGTGATGATGAGTTACTATTATATTCACATTTTCTTTTGGGAAAATACTGAGTACATTTTCTGATCATTTTGCTGCACTAAGGACTACTGTGTGCAGCTTTGCTGCATCTACTTGAGATGAAGTTTTCTAAGAGCTTTCAGTTAACTCTGAAACACAGTTTTCCCAACAGCAACAAAAGTTTCTCAGTAACTGCATTCACTGTTGGCATACTTCAAAATGAAGTGTAGAGTAGTTGTGTGACCCCTCAATACCTTACAAGCTACCTGTGGCAGAACCAGAAACAGAACCAAGGTCATTTGATCCTGATGTGCTCAGCACGCGAAAGAAACACTTGCTATGTTTTGCAAGTCTTTTACATAGAACATGATATTAAAATTTATAATCAGAAATAAGATTTTTAATGTATAAAATGACTTGGTAAATAATGTTTTGAAATTTTTACCTCTTGATCCTTAGAATTGCATTTTATAATATATCTGTGCAACTATGTTTACGTGTTTTCTTTGATGAAATCACATACAAACGAAATTTCTTCTACTTCCTGAGGTTAGCTGTGCCTTGAAGTTGCTATTTCTAGGGATGTGCCATTGTCAACTAATTTGGAATGTTCATCTTTAACATTCAGCCTTCAAAATACCAGATGGTATTTCCAGAAAAGCAATTTAAATTTTTATTTTTCTTCACGAATTCCTTAACTAGATAATCTCACACACACCCAGGCAAAGCACACACCAGTATTCCCAGAGTTGCCTGGCAACTACTGGGAGGAGCATCAGAGAACAAGACAGCCCGTGTAAATAAAGGGAAGTCTCCCTGACATCTTTGTTGTTTATATGGACAACAATTCAAATATCTGCCTCTATTTCACCTCTGAAAGCACAATACTTACACCCAACTATGCACATACAAGTGGATGCTATTTATTTTTTCCCCCACATACACCATACGTGCATTTCCCCAGGTAAGAAGTGGAAGGAATCACACTGATTTCAAGTGTCCCTTTTGAACCCTGAATGTGGCTTCTTGGAGTGATGCTTATTCGATGGTGCTAACGAGACTCTAAAATTCAGACTAAGTAGTTTTCCCTTTGGCATTAAGAATAACATGTAAAACATACAATAGGAATGATGAGATTTTAATAATAGAAACATCTTCAACCCCAACAAACACTATGCTAGCCATCCAACTCCCTTTCTTTTACACAAAGACTAAAATTAGATGGGAGAGTACTAATAATGTCTGGCACGTAGACAAATAGTCTTCACAGAAAAGCAGAACACAGAATATACCTTTGTTCAACTAGCAAGCCTTCATTCTCATTCTCCTCATTTACCCTCCCCACGTACACTCAGAATGCATTTTAGCATCTCCCAGGGGTATTCAGGCTCTCCGCAGGTACCACCAACTTTCAGCTCTACCTCCAAATGTTTGTGGATGAGAGATGATGGCATTAAGGCAAGAGTACAGTTTCCCCTCTACAGACTTCCTCTGAAGCAGCCAGTGGATCAAATAAGCCTGTGACCACCACCCTGAGATTTGTCACTGCACATGCTTAAATTTCCCCTGATTTAGATTAGGGACGGTAACAGAATATATATGGCACTTTTTAGAGTGTTCTGCAGAACACTCTACGTTTATTATTTTTATTTGTGCCATTTCCCATATTTCTGGAATGCATCTCATAAATTATACCTCAATGTTCATCACACCATCTCTGACACCTTGACTCTGTCTATCAGCTAACGCACACACTTTAATAGAAACCTCCTATGTACCTCATAGAAATGTCACAAAACATGGAAATAAGTGAATTTGGCTGGAATTACTTGTATTTAAGTCCACGAAGCCCTTGCAGTAAGCCAGGAGCAGATGCCTCACTAGAAGCAATAAAATAAAGGATCAAGTACTGAAAAATCTTTCCCCCGCTCAGATGGCACGGAATCATTGCTAACTACAGATCAGCTTTGAACCAGAAGCATGAGATTAAATTTCCCTATGAGAACATTTAGTGTCAGTAGTTCGAACTCCAGACTTGTTTTTTTGTAAAAGCACAATTTCTTTACTAATTTTTACTAGCTTCTTAAACCCCATGATTCCATAATTTGCACTTACTTGTTTCAAATTTACACATAAATCACATTAAAAGAAACAAATCTTTTACTGCCGATAAAAACAGTACAGCGAATACTGAGGTTTTGCTGAGAGAGAAAATGGTCAGCTGTGCATCCTGTGATCATTAACGAAGACATTTTTATCATCTTTTTTCTAATTTTGTTCTCTTCTACAGGAAGTAACTCCCATCCCTCTCCTGAGAGAGGTTTTCTCCCAACCACGCCTGCTGCATTGCTTTATCAGCTGGTCCTCCAGGCTGCCCAAACACAGACCGCAGGCAGTGGGTTACGCGCTTTGAACACCTGCAGCCCCACCTGCCCACCCACAGATCCCCACTTCTTCCCCACTTACAGGTTCGATTTTCAGTGCGTTTCTGTAGCTCCCGAAGAAAGACGCCTGCGCCTTTAGAAAAGCCCTGGCAACGCCATCTCCAGTGGTTGTAGAAACTTTCTTCAATCTGTTCTTCAGAGCAGAAACCTGAAATCACACCACCAGTGCAGGTGACTCTCGTATCACAAACAGCTTCGCACCACGGGACGCAGCTAAAGAAAAAGCTCTCACAGTTACAACAAAAAAGGACATCATTAATTCAGAGCTGAAGTCTTCTGCTCCGAAATCATTCCTCTGCCATTTCTGTCCTCCCAGGAATGACTACTACGGAACCATCAGGACGACAACGGCTTCATCTCAGCCCTCCCTCCACACAGAGGCCACCAACACCGGGCACTGTTCTGAATGCAGCCCGTGGAGTTCTGTGTCATTCTTGATTAGAATTCATGAAAAAAAAAAATCAGCTGAATTAAACTTCAGACTGACAAAGATGTTTTTACCAATATTAAACTGAAGTCAGAAGGCCTTTCCCACCATCGCACTCCCTGAGGCACCGCCTGACCCATGGGCACGGCTGCGCCCTGCGGCCCACAACCGGCTGCAGCCCCACACCTGAGTGCCAGCACCCAGCGCAGGGCAGAGCTCCGAGCCCAGCACTTCTTCCAGCCCACACCATTCTGTCCCTCAGAACAGTCCATGTGCTCCGTCCCCGCGGTGCCCGCCCTGCCCTGCCCTCCACATGCAGATGTTTCCTACGTACAGCAGGGCTGAAGTTGTACAGGGTCACCCACTGCTGTTCTCTGCACTCAGCGCTGCTCAGACACACAAGGAGGTTCTTAGTTTGATACCTTTGCTGCTGAGAGCTGCTGAAGGAAGGTGGTGCACCTATACGCTATTGGTAGTGACAGCGCTTTTCTCTCCCAAACACAGGCCATAAAAGGAGATAAAAAACCTTTCAAAGTCAAACATCAAGCTTGCTGAGCCTGTGCTGCAACCGCTATTGGGTTTGTTAAATCATTAACAAATAGTTATGTCAGTAGCAATTTTTTGGTACTGAAGACAGAACTAGGACAAGTAATTTTTTGAGACAGATCTCACGGAACACCCAGCAATACAAAAACAACAATCTGGAAACAAACTCCACCAGCGCTTTTTAAGGCAGCTGAGAGTGGTGGGATTCCTTAAGGGGAAGGCAGGAAGAGCCAGCACTGCCGAGGGACACAGAAACCCCCACCCACCCTGATTTGCACAAGACCACGACTCCTAAAAGTGTGTATTGTGACTTTAAAGAAACCAATAAAAAGCGAGACTTTCTTTAACTCAAATGCTATTCTGAAAAACTCCTTTGGAGCAGCTCTAAATACTTCACAGAACAGATATGGAGAACAATTTACGGAACTGGGAGATTCCACCACAGTGAACACAACCACTGTTTTCTGAGAGCATGAACAGCACCTCACAAAGCTACACCAATGGTTCACGTGTTCAAATCAACTTCCAAGACCTTTCCAGAATCTCATTCTCCATCTCAGAACAAAAAGCTTAGTCTTGCCTCATCTATACCTCCAAAATTTTATCAAATGAGTTTTTTCTGCCTTGGAGTTTTGCTACAAGCTTCCTTTCAGTAATTTGGTTTTAGGAATCAGCTGCTCAGGTGCTTCAGTTTTACCTCTCTGGAAAGCACATCACTCACTTGTTCCTTGCAAAGGGAAGGGAATAATTCCTCAGTTTGTTGCTAGGTTTTAAATACATAAATATATAAAACTAGATATTGCCACCTATTTTCATTAAAACAGTTTGAAAAAGATTTGCCTTTACTTTTTTTTTTTTTTAACTGTTTTTTTCCCCTGCAGCTTCAGCTATAGAAGAACTTTCATTACGGCTATTTAGGGTAACAGCAGTAATCAAGAGCACGTCCAGTACTGTTTATAAGTCGGGATGCCATGGCTTATGTCAGTGCTCCACGCGATAACGAACCTACAAGAACACACTGCCATCATACAGGACAAGAGATTCAGTGCAAAGTCTACTGCATCCCAAAATCAAGCTCAGCGCTGCTCAGTGAGATTATGTCTCAAGGACTTCTGTCATTCTCCAAGTGTAACAGCTTAATCAGATTTTCAAACTTGAACAGCACACCAAACTCTTTCATGTCTGAAGGAGTCTGATGATAGTTGTAAATATGAAATAGGACTTCATTTCCTGTATTAAGTAAATTGTTTACAGGTAGTTCTCAAAAATGAAATAAAATGCCTCCGCCCATGAAAAACTTGTAAATCCATTTCAAACACGTTTGTATATGGCTTTCTTTAACCATTAGTTTGAAGATAAAGAACTTGCCATCTGTCTAGAAGGAAGAGACTACTCTCAGCTGCACAACAAACTGAAAGTTTCAGTTTCCCTATAGAACACTGATAGATATTTTGCTTATTCCTTAAGCTTTCAGATAATTTGTTCCCTCCTAAGATTAAATCTAACACTGTATGATGTTTGTTTCAGGTATGCACCCATTAATTCCCCCTATCAAGTCACTGCAATAGAAACGTCATAATTTTAAGAAAATTAAATGTTAAGAGACTAACAGGAGTAAAAAAGTTCATTTTTTACTCTGGTGAAAGTTAATACACAGGACCAGTTAGATTTTGTAGAACAAAGCTCTGCTTAGTACACAAGCGAAATCATGATTTTCTCTTGCCTAAAAGAAACAGTAGCACTTTTATAAAAACAAGACTGTGACCACTCAATATGAAGATTATTTCTAGCCAAACAGACACATATACATGCAGTCTACCCTGAGAGTGTTTTAAAGAAGATTTTTATACTTCTGGCAGTTCAGGTTTAAAGGTCAGATTTAAACTATCACCATGTTTCAAAATGCAATCTGTGCAATGCAGCATAATGAAATGGTTCAGTAAAGGTGCTAGTGGAAATTCTTTTAATTAGGTCCAAGGCTTTTCAGTTGTCAACATGAATAAAGCAAGAAACATTCTATTGCAAACACAGTCTAAGAAATAAAAATGGATTCACCTTTAAGGAAATGGTTTTCCTATAGAGTTGTACTTTAGTACTTCTTGCTCTCCTGCAAGCAGTTAATTTCCCACTAAGTGGAAAAATTGTAATACAGGCTTCCCACTTGTAGCAACTTGCTATCAAGTGGACAAAACCAAATTACTGACAGCCTAAAATACTCACAGAACAGTACAAGTGTACAAACACAGTCATAAGATACGTAAGATCTTTTTACTGCTGTATACTGTACATTAGGCATTGCATCACAGCTTCATTTAATAAAACTCAAGTTGACAGTGTCAGCTTTTGTTCTGTTCCATGTAATATGAAGCTCTGGCTACAACTGAGCCTAGAAGATGACACTTATTTGGAAATACATGATAAATCCATAAGGGTTGCATAAAAAAAAATTACTACCCCCTCTCTTTGCTATTCCTTGCAACACAGACGGTGGTGTAGGAGACTTGTCAGCAGCAGATGCACTTATTGTAATCACAGTCCTTAATAAATCTCTTTTTTTAATATTGACTATTTTAAAGGAAAGTTACTTCCCAGGGTGCTCTCATGCTGCCAGATTTTCAGCAAGCTATCAGAAGCAGAAGGTGATGGAGGGACAGTTTTTCACGTTTCAGTTAATCGGTGACACAGTAATACGCAGCTTGATTTTCAGGGACCCAACCTGAATTCTGCTTGCTACCAGGTACTGCTGAGGTAACCAGGGCAAAGAAATGACTTCATTTGGTTCCACCTGAACTGTCTCAATACTATCCTGCTCCTGAAACACAAATGTTAACTGGGAAGACATTTCACTATAGCCCATGTTCATCTGGACAGTACAAGACAGTAATGAAAGTTTATCCTAGATGGCTGAGAATCAGCTGTACAGGTAGCAACATCACTATCCTGAAACTTGAGTAAGGTCCACTACTCCAAACTCCAAAGTAATCATAGGGCTTCAAGGCATTAAGTTACTTGATTTAGAAAGCTGTTTAAGGAAAGGGGGAAAAATAAAAAGAGCTTTACAATTGTTCCACTGGATTAATTACTCAAAGGCAAATGCATCACATAGATGTTTGTCCTCACTACTGAAAATAAGCACGTTTAATTTAGCAAAGTAAATATCGTGTATATTCAGCAGTACATGAATTACTTGCTATTCACACTGAGTTGAAAACTGGCAGAATAGTTTGACAAAACAGCCATTTATGAGCAATGAAACTGTTGAAGACATTTTTAGTTTCTCAGATCATAAATGTATCTTTTTAGACTGAGATCCATGGAGGGACACACACTCAAAATCTCCCCATCCTCCCAGGGAAGAAAAAAAAATAAGAAAAAGAAAGAAAAAAAAGTATAATGGATTGGCTTTAGAGTCTCCCTGCTGAGATGAACAACTTGATCCACTTACAGTTCCAAACACATGATGCATGAAAGAACTGACAGAAATTCAATTCTTGCAAAGAAGAGCAGCTGCTCTCTAGTGGTCAAAGCCAAATATTAAGCAGTATGAGGGAAAGGAAAAGACCTAGAGGAGAATACTTTATTATCTAGGTAACAAAAATAATGAAACAAAGCTAAGACAGACATAAACAGTGATCCCAAATATTAATTATGCAAAGCAACACAATTCAAGTTTAGGCTTTGTTACAACAAATATTAATCCCAGCTGTATTTATATAGCAGTTGTGAAAAAAAAATAAAAAAAAATTACACCCTATATGCTATTTGTGAGCCATGCAGTTAATTGAATTTGCTGGCAGCACTTCCTCTGCTATGCTCCAAACATCCTCCAAGACAAAATGTAGCTTTTAAATAGACCTGTGGAAAACTGAATCAAGAAATTTGAACTAATAAAACACAAGTCTTTACTGTTAAAAAAGTAAAGTAAAAGTAAATAACGAAAGGAAGGAAGTCTCTTAAAATTTACTGCATTCCAAAGCTTGAAGTTCTGTGTTTATTGGTGAAGTCTCTTCTGATGTTCTACAGTGCACCTACAACAGCTCCTTTAATGAAGTCTCATAAAGTCTAATATAATACTTGATTGTTGACAAATCATATACATGTTTGAGGCCCAGCACTCACTGCCATCCAGACTTTCTTACATAATTTCATGAAATTTACAAGTCTGTCATTTCCCGGGTTGCGGATAATGGCAGGAGTGATGACCAGCTGGCAGACTTGGATGCTGGGAGTGAAATCAAAATGAAAAACTATAAAAAGCCAGGAAGATTCATGGAAGTAACTTTTATAGACTAAATGCTTGACTAAAGCCAACATGCTCACAATCAAGACGGACCTTTTATCTACAGCTCACTGTTTTCGAAGAATGGATCACAGATCATAGAGAAATGATGGGATGTCACAGTAGGAGGCACTGGGTATTCACCATTACTTGAATTTTTCGTCAAACAGACCAGCTTATATTGAGCTCCCTGCATATCAATTTTATTTCTCAACCACACATAAAAAGGTACAGATCTAACGGACAGCAAAATATTTTGAACTAGTTAAAAACAAAACAACAAAAAAAATCCCCACAGATTTTCCCCTTTTTCTCCTAAGCTGTCACCCTCTGACTCAAAAATATCTTCTTAAGCTCTTATTCATATTTCCACTCTTTGTTGAAGATAAATATAGCAGCAAGTAACGAGCTGGATGTATTTTTGCCCAATAAAGAGGTAGATCAAGCACTAGTATTACATTTCTATCAAATTATTAAAAAATAAATTACCAGAAATTTGAATGAGAACGAAAATAAGTTCATTAATTATTTTCATTGAGCATTGATAGAAGTGAATATGAAACAGTCCACTTAGTATCAAAGTTCAGCATAAAAAACGCACAGTGTTCATTAAAACTCAAGTGAGGTAGAACAGTTTACTCAGAATATTAAGGGCAGCACAATGCTACACTTGAATGTACAAACAGGTCAAATGGATCTACGTTTCTAAGTAATGGAATGGTTGAATAAAATAATTTAATACATACCACATCATTAGGTAGGCTCTGAAGGTCATCAAAAGGGGTTTCCAGTGTGTTGGTGTCTACGTTAAGAATCACTACATCTTCTAAGGCCATGTTTCTCACTTTCTAAAGTTAAGCAAATTCAAGAGAAGGAAAAGGAAGGCATAAATACAAGGAGTTAATTCCTATGTATAAAGTACACAACTGACAGCATGACATCATGGTGTTACAATACTCGAACGTTTAAAGAAAACACCAACATTCCTGTCTTTCTGTCACTGCTTGTCTCATTTCTTTTATGTCACAGTGTTAAAGAATTAACATTCTATTTGTGGAAGGGAGCTCCTGAGATTGCTCATTCTGAAATGTTGGAAACCACAAGGTCACTGCTTAAGATTATTCAATCAAGGAGTTGCTTCAAGCAGCTCTGCTAATGTTCATCTTAGCTCTGATACACAGTTTGTATGTTGAACAGCTTCTAGCTAAGTAAAGATCTGAAGCTTATTTTTTCGTATTTGTAAACTAATTTATAATTACTGTTTTTTCCAGTAGGTAAGACATGTATTAAGTAAAGGATGCTGCTTGGCTTCTGAACTTGTGCTGAATCTTGCATCTCTAATGCAGAGAAACAAGAACAATATTTAAGCATTTATTTTAACACTATTTCCACTATCAACTCAATTGAATCATGGTGTTCTTTTCTTGTTTTTTTTTTGCTGCTGGCTTTTTGTTTTTACTAACTGTACACAGTTATGCCCTTTGCAAATTCAGTTTTGTAAATTCAAAATCAGAAGTGTAACTGCAAGATCTGGTGATCAAGGAAATTTCCCACTGCACTGTAAACAAACATTCAAGAACCCAAATACTTATTATATGCAGCACTAAATGTGTGTTATCAAGGAGGAAAATGAACATAAACATTCACATTTTTTAATTAAGATTTTGTGGGGTGGAGGGAATTGTTTTCCTTAAAAGAAAGGAACTGGAGCTCTAAAACAATGGCAACGTTGAGCCTTAGGCATCTAAATAATTACCTTCAGTTTTCAAGGCTCAGTTCTCTGTCTATAAATAAAGCTGCTGTGTAGTTATAGCAGCGGTGGGGGGAGAACAAACAAAAAAGCCAATAACTATTAAAACATTCTGAAGACATTTAAATTTAAGTCTTCTGTGAGGATTTTCTTTAACTTAAATGGCAAAAAGCCCTGTTTAATGCTTTCCATACAAAAAGCACAAGTACCGCATGATAAACCAAGGTACTTTCCTCCCCATTTCAGGAACCAAAGGTCACTCCCTTGGCTGCATCTGATAAACTCTAAAGCAATCCAGGAGCCTCGCTCCTTCTAGGAGTCCGGAAGCACCAGACAAACTGATTTGCTCCTTCCTGTTTCAGAAAATTAAAAATCTCTTATACTCAGAGGAGTCTAAAAAGCCCATACAAAAAGGTCTTGCAACGTACTTAACTAAAGCCAGAAGCTTGTCAAAATCAAGTGCTAGTAGGACAAGACAGAAGAAATTAAAACCTTCTCTTGATTCCTGCCAAAGAAGCAACAAATGTGCCCAAACTTGTCGATGGGTGTTTTTGTAACTCTAGTGATGATTTCGAACTCTCCCTTCAGCAAAACATTGGGATCTTCTGCAGCTGTACAGCTTTTCACCAGCACATATCTGCCACGGCACACAGTACAACGGGATTCAGTTCACAATGCATGGACTATAAATGCTGATCACTGTAATCACCTCCACACACGGCTCAGAAATGACTGTATCAGAAAGGCAGGCTAACATTTAAATGCTGTGCTCTACCTTTACAGAGTAAAGAGCACAACCTTACTTTAAACACCTCCACAGTCGTATTAAGACGGTGGATTTCCCTGCAGACAAACGCTCAAATTTAATAAAACACCAGAGAATAACTTGATTTATAGCATCTCTCTGGCACTGCATTGAAAAAAATACAGCTTTTCAATGGTCCAGTTGTGCCATATCCCAGAGAAATGCAGACTGATTGATTCACCACGATCTGTTTTAGCTATCATTCATATCGCTATGCTTTTTAATAAAGATATTATCAGACAGACTTGAGGGCTTTTGAAAATAATCAAATGGTTCTTTTGCTGAATGATGCAGCACGCATCAGCCGAGCTGAACCTGGAAATTAAAGCATTTACTCTGCTGGAATTTCAGTAAAAACTCCAAGCATCCAATTGCTGTTTTCATATTAAATCCCACTGCACACTGCAAATTGCAACAACATGTAGGTTATTTCACAGGTATGCCTTGCAAGTCAAATTATAGAAAAGCAGCCACTAAGCTGTACACAGCCACACAGCTGTATACATCCACATGTCATAACTTCCTGAACACAAAAATAAAGTTCACAAGTGAGATGATACCTGCTGAATAGAGCGGACTTACAGTCGGTATGCTCAGATTTTGCAGAAAACGTGGAGAGTAAAAACAAGAGGAAATATGAATATTACAGTTTGCTTATCTAAACTTTCTGCACACCTGAGATTTTCTGAGTCAAAAGAAGTGATTCAGTGAAACTGAACATCACAGATTACAACTGCAAGCCTTTTTTAACCATCCTTCCTGGACTCCTTATAGCCATAATTAATCATCTAAACCCAACCAAATTGGACTAACATCTACACCTGCCTTTTATTTTATATGTCTCTGTTTAAAAGAGTGGAGAGGTAAGGAAAGCTGGTTTAACAAGCACACTGAACCCATTGTTTATGGCCTCTATAAACATGGCTTAGTAAGAATTACTGACTTAATCAGAGAGAACTTATCTCCTGGTGAAAAGAGCACTTTAAATTTCAGAAATGGCACCTTTACTGTGAAAATCTCTTAACTTTTCAAACAAACTCCAGGGGGCCTTAAACACTAGGTCAGTAAATAAGGAGCAGTTAGTACAACCTGTCCTGCTCACAAGCAGCCACACTTGGAGTAATTTAAATGTTTTATGTGAAAGTTAGCAAAAACACTAAGAAACTATATAGCAATGTTAAGAGGTGCACCTCTGTTGTACTTTGGGTCATATGCTAGAAGAAATATACATCAATAATACTAATGCCATTTGTACTAAACGTTACTTTATTTTCACCGTTTACTGCTGGCAGCTTTTGCTTCTCCTTCCATAAAAGCCACCGAGTCACACTTAGCTGAACAATGGCACTGGATAACTCCTTTAAAAAGCACAGTGCCAAGACATGAACCAACCCGACCGTGAGGTTTGATGGCCAGACACAAACAGATCAATGTATTGAAAACATGGCAATGGCACAGAAAATTCACTTTCCAGTAATTATTTTGAATCTTAAAATAGCCCTCATATTTCAATAGCTATTTTGTACATAATATGTGAAGCTATTATGAAAGCATGATTCACTAGTTAAAATCCATTTGCTTAATGACTCGCCTCTAATTAGTTAATAGTTTCCATTTATTTTCTTAAGAACACCACAACACTGCAGACAACAATGTGTCAATCTGGCTGCCAGAAGCAGGAAAGGCAGCGGATATAAAATTTTATTATTTCATGCCCCAACAGCAGCCAGAAGGACTTAATGAAATCACCCTCAGATTTACAACCTGAAGCAGCGATTCCGCAGACAGGCCCGGCCGCGCTGGCTGTGCCCCCTGACCCCGCGCCCCTTTGATCTGGGCACAGCAGGTGGCCCGAGCCCCCCGTGCATCTTCCACTCTTCCGCCACTGCCCCGACCTTGATGTGCTGAACCCTGATCCTGCACAGGTGATTCTCCAGATCCTTATCGCAGGCAGCTGCTGCCAACTGAGTGACAGACATCACCGGTGCTGCTCTAACGCCACGGGACAGCGGCAGCAAACCTGCAGCCACCACCGTGCCTCCTGGTGCTGCACAAGTCACAGTAACACTGACCCGCCGGGAGTGCATCCGCTCCAGAATCTCTTATATAAACATACCATCGTTTTTGTTTCTTCCAACAGTTGGATAAAAGACAGTTCAATACGTAATTTGGTATGCTTTAAAATGCTCATCTCTTTTTGGTGCCAGGAAAGGATGCTAGAAACCCACTTTGACCAAATTTCACTCACAAATTCACTCTGGAGAATTTTAAAAGAATTAAGATTCCAAAGTCTCAGAAAAAGCTCTCAAGTGACTGGAACCTTAAAACTGAATGGATAAGTAAACTAATAAATACTTCTCTAATTTTTAACATCACTTCCAAACGTCCTGTTTGTGCTCTGAGCAAAGGGAGGTCAGGCCAGGCACTGCTCTAACGCCATGGCTGGAAGCCTGGCACAGCAGATTCTGCTGTCAGCAGCTCAGAACCAAACAGCTAGAAGAGCTGTTCCCCATGCTTAATGAGATCCACATGTGCCCAAATTCCAGCAGGCAGTGTAGCAGGGCAGGGACACTCCTCTGCCATCAGCGAGATCACGCTGAAGGCCTTTGCTACAGACAGCTGCTGGAAAAACCACTGGCTACAACACAAGGTAAGAGGCTGCCAGCACGGTTTGATGCTGTGTGTAACACAAAGGTTGATTCGCTGTAGCATTAACAATAAAATAGCATGCAGCATGCAGGCACAACATAAAGTAAGATTATGAAAGGGATGTGTTCGTTTGATGGAGTTTCAGCTCCCTATCTCGTTATTTATCAGTGCTAAGTACTTATCTTCGTCTAATATGAATTCAATTAGTTCTGTAAGCATGTTCCATTATTCATGTGATAACTCCAGCCTTGCTTATCCAACAGCTTATAAACTTTTAGCCTTCTTTGAAGTTACTCTGTGGATTGCTAAATGGAAATCTTATAAAGAATGACAAAGTAGGTGATGATAGAAAAGCTGAAAAATAAGAGCACAAAACACAGCTCTACATTTTCTACCACGATTTTCAGTCATATATCAGCCAGAGCCCTCTGACCTACAACAGGAGATTATCTTATCTCACTGGAGAACATTTCAGTCACAGCAAATTAGACTTAACAGTCAGTGGATATGTTTGATATTTTAATCGTAAGAAAAAATTGTCATTTTCCATTAAAAGAGCTTCTAGAGACCCCATATAATAGGAGACTGCAAACTAACTTCAAGATGCACAACGGTTTGAAATAAAACTTTCGAGGTGAGACAGAGGGTGCACTTTGTTTAAAGCATTATAACTGCTATGGTATTTCTGCCAGAGGTCCCGTTGTGAAATGGGGAGAGCAAAAGTCCACAGAAGCAACACCAAAGCTGGAAAATTATTCTTCTTCCTACTCTCCAAACTCTCTCTTCCCTTTACACCAGTTTTCTGTGCTCAGGTTTAGGCTCCACTAACATCTATGCAACAACGACAAATCCTGCAGAGCTGCTGGAGCAGAACTGTGAGCCTGCATACACCCGACCCCCATGGGGCTCTACAGAAGACAACAGTCCACCCGTCTTAAATGGAATGGGAAAAGAGGAATTAATCCCTTATTCTGAATCTAGAGTGTGTGAATCAACACTTTGAAAAGGACTAAGCGCTGAAACTTCAGCAGTTAGTGAAAAATGGATAATGACAATAAAATGGATAATGACAATAAAATGGATAATGACAATATTTTCTTTGCTGTTTATAAAAATATTTTTCAGACGGAGAAATTAATGCAAAATATTTTTTAAAATACTCAACTGTTGGAACACGAGAATAAATTGCTGTTGCTACTGAGCAGTTATTCTAGCAAATAAGCCTACATATGAGGAAAAGGAGAAAGCAAATAAGCTTTCAACACCCTAACCAGGCTATGAGGTAAACTAGTTATTGTCTAGTTTGTTTGACAGATGTCACCTTTCCTTCTCCCAAGGCACAGACAAATTATACAGCACTTGTCAACAAACAACATATACAATAGCTCACTGTGTGATTTTATTTTATTTTTCAATAAACACATCTAGCTGTATTGGAAAGAATTCAATTTACCCATAAGAGCAGGAGAGAAGGCAGTTTTATTTATTTCATTTACTTCATAAGGCACTTTGAAAAACTGCATTTTGCCAACGCGTGTGTGTTCCAGAATCTCCAGCTATTCAGAAGCCATACTGGATTTAGTACTAAACAGATTTTTCGCAAGCTATAGAAATGGATGAAAATTGGCTGCTCCAAGAGCAGCTCGGGTTTTTTTGAGTTTTTACAGATGGAGTTTGGAAGGCCTACAGAGCCCTGCAATGTGAAAAGCTGAGACTAAGGAAGAGCTACAATATCTGAAGCTGCAAGGCAGGAGCGAGACAAAGCAACTCTAACAAGTAGTTATCAGCTTTTTGTTCCTACACCCTTCGCCAGGCTGACCACGAAACAAGGCGATGATTACCTGACACAGACATCGAGCAGAAAAGCTCTTACTCCATATGAAAACTGTATGGTAGGCTACTCCCTAGATGTTACATTGGTCCTGCCTACATAGTATTCAAATGCAATTATCAGAAATCCCTGTAACAAAAACATACTAAGCGCAAACAAATGTGCATGTTGACTTTTGGATCAACAGCTTATTCACCAACACATCATACTAAAATTCTGCACTTTATTTAGAAATATAAAGAGCATCAAAAATTATCTGTGTACAAGCAGAAGCAGGGGGAAGTCCTGAATGTTCCATCTAGCTTATGAAAAGGTGACTTCTAAGAATTGATTTCACATTAGTACTGGGGAAAGAAAAAGGAAATTATACTACACAGTATAATACTGAAGATTTGCAATGAAGACAGAGAGGATCACTGTTTCACAGATATGCTCCCATGAAAGAAAATGTTTGATCAGTACCTACTTCCAGAGAAGTAACAAATTTTATGGACAATATAAAAACAAATATTCTAGTAATATGCATTAATTTATACGATGGAAAAATCAGAATCATAAGTTGTTGCATACCCTAAACAAATAAGCTTAAATTTCTAAACACATGTATCTCAAACAGGGGCACAAGCCAACTAACTTCCAAGGGCAGATGCAAAGCCTTCCAGTTCAGCACTGAGTACTGATTTCAGTTCCTGTGGAGAGGCAGTGCTTTCTGAGAAGGAATGCCTCATCAAGCACATACACAGCACTCAGGCTTCCTGTGTAAAGGGGCACAATTAATAAGAGCAAGCATTTTCATAGGCATCTAAATTAATAGATTATGTGCTCCAGATACTCTTAAGGAAAGTCATCAAGTGTTTCTCCAGTATGGGAAGCAAGAGGAAATGCGTTATTTCCACTTTTAAGAGGGTGTGGGTTGTTTTAGTCCTTGTTGTTCGTTTGGTTTAAAGTCAGACAAATTATTATGGATTGTTTATATGTGACGCTTTCTGTGAGGCCTGCTTTTCTGCCAGTTTCGTGTTAATGTTAACAGCAAGTTCCTTCTTTTCAGGTCTTTTCAACATTAAAAAAAAAAAAAAAAAAAAAACAATCCAGCTGGAATGCCTAAAAGAGAACTGTAACTGTCAACATTCTGGTTTAACATTAACTCTGCCTTTGTAGTACAGAGTAAAACTAGAGGTGGAAAGCTGACTAAATGAAGCAACAGAATGGAGAGGGGAACACACCATGAGCTCATCGCTGACTGCTGAACTGCCAAGGAAGGACACCAGAGGGTTTGAGGTACCGAGGAAGACTTCCTTGTGCGTTAGCATGATTACCTACGCCTAACTGCAATTCTCTGTGCGCTCTTACATAAATTAATGGGATTATTTCATTTTTAATTCATAATGACTGTACGTAAAACTACTTAGAGAATGTGGGCCTAAGTCATAAAACACATGTATTTTCAGAAATGGTTAGAAAGACTTACCTCCATCAAACTTAAATGTATTCCAATGAGGTAGGGCATTGGGGCACTGCAAAGAGGAGGAAAAAACTTGCTTTACATTCTCATAGCACTGGATTAACACATACGACTTATAAAATTAGCTACAGGAAAAGACCAGGGATTCTGGATTAAACTTTGGGATATATATATATATATATATATAAACCACATGTTAACAAAATTTTATTCCGTATTTGAAAGATTTCTTTTACTATGCAATATTCCCTTATTATCATAAGATTTGATTTCTTTCGACATCAGAATTCATAAGTGTCTTTGTTAAGACAAGTACATAAGGGCAGCTATTAAACACACACACACACACACACACACACACACACACACAAAATAAGGTGATCTCTTAAAGTACAATTTTCAAATAATTCTATACTCTTTCAGCAGACTGATTTAGTTGTAGAATTACATGGTTAGCTCAGTGAATGCACATCACGCAGTCGTGTAAATTTTAAACCCTTTGATTATGGGTTCAGACATTTTAAATAATTCAACTAAGTATAAATCTTGAAATATTTACATTTATAAAACAAGGATGTAAAACTACTTTGGAAGATTCTGATCAGCTCTGTAATTACTATGGCATATGCTGGATCATTATTTCAGAATACAATAACAAACTATATCGAGAGGTTCGTTGGCCAAATTTATAGTTTCAAACATAGGTGTGACAGTTCTGTTATCAAACAGAAAGTTAAGAAAGATTGATCTTTTCAGTCTTCTGTTCAGCCATGTTAGCAAACAGCAATATGGGCTACTATGTCACAAGGAAGAATACTGAATGAAAGCAGAATCTTTGTATATACAGTATTTCTAATATTAAGCTTTACTACAGGACTCCCACTCAGCTAATCAGAAAAAGCTCATATTTGCATTGCTTATTAGAACATATCGAAGAGGATGCCAAAACTGCTAGTTGCAAATATGGCATACACTGCCTGTTAAACTGAAAGCACAGACAGACACAACTTTTAAAATAGAGCCTCATTTGATTTTGGATACAGAAGCTTAAAGAGCTCATTTTCAATTTCAGATGAGAAAGAAGAGAAATGTCACTGTTCTGCCTTGTTTTAAAATATCTTCCATATTGCTTTTATAGATGGCTGCCCACTGTTCTGTAAGGGAAGAACAGTGCTGGAAGAACTACTGCTGCACACCAGCAAAAATCACTCTGCTTCTCATTTTTGTGAGGAAATTTTTTTTTTAAAGTAACAATTTCTGGTATGCATATTAATAATCATGTTTACCACTGTACCTTGAAAACTGCTACTCTGTTGGATACTGCACCAAGAGATGTAAACAGCCTCTATACTACATGCTCTGCGTGGAAACATTGTTTTGTTTTTATTCTTGTTTGAAGGCAAACACATAAAGCATAAATAACTTCAAAGAATCCAACAGGTCCTGAAGAGGCTCACCGAGCTGCACGGCCTGCCAAGAACACCCTTACCCAAGCTTCACCCAACACAGCTCCCTGTCACAGCCCACAGGCGCTGTTAACTCAGGAACTAACTTGGTACAAGTCCCAAAGCCTCTGCTTCCTTGGGGATTCCACAGATGAGAACCAAAACATATATCCAAGTTCTTGGATAAGTGTTACAATTTTTTACCATTCAACATGATACACACTTAGTGCATATGGATTGCTGCTCATCTGAGGAGTATTTATTTGTCATTTTGCATGTTTTATTTGTGACAAACACTCTCTCTTTCACCCACATCTCTTCATTTCCAATGGCCACATTCCAGGAGCAAGAAAATACCCAGTAATTTCACATTCAAAGTATAAACCATTGGTTTAGCTGCCAGCTGCACAAATGCTCAACTTCCCCGTGTGCCTTGCTATGCTGTTCAAGGCTCCTCCAGTACGCACTGAAACGAATGTGTTTCTAATTAAGTAGTTTCAGAACCACGACAGCTTCAATCTCAAAAATACAAAGTCTGAACCTCGGCAGGAAGTCGTAAGACTGCAAACGTCTCATCTAGTAGAACCTTGGCTAACGTAATGAAAGGAAGCAGGAAGAGTGCAGTATTCCAGAAAACCAGCCACTTTATTAATGCATCCAAAAGCAGAGCCTGTCACCAAGCATAAGAAAATCTGAATCTGTAAAAGCTGATTAACTGTATCATGTCCATCCTTCAACTGCCCAGCTCATCCACAAAAGAATGCAAATGCCTAAACCCTTAAAATCTTGCACTCCCTGTAAAACTTTAGGAACTGATAGAAAGATATGCCTTAAGATACAAAGGTCACCTTTGGATGCAATGAATTGCCTTTTCAATTTTCTAGTGAAAGTCATCAAAGTAAAGGCAATACAGCACGTAAAGCTATTACAGGGATGGTACGAAGGCCACAATATCTAACTTTTGTCCGGTATTGGAAGTTGTTTTTTTCCCGTGACCTTGCATTGCTGTGCTGTAAAGGACCCAGTCAGGTGCCTCATGTGCTGCACTTGGACTAGCCGAAAAAGCAGCAGGACAAGTTGATACTGTAACACTACAAAAAGCCGTTTAGCTCACTCTTCATAAGAAAGGTTTTGCTGATCAATAAGAAAAAGGAAACTTCAAAGCAGAAATTTGTTTAAAAATGCACTAATTTTGCAACATTTGTGGTACCTTTGTGAATAGTTGCAGAGATTTCAGCTAGGGAATGTGGTAGAGCTCAGAAGATGATATCGAGTAACTTTATCTTTGAAGGAAAAAAAACTATTGTTCCATGATACATAAATCACAGAGCAACAGCAAAAACATGCTAAGGATAATTCACTGTGATAGCTCCTTATACTTGCAAAAGATCAACTAAGCAAACATAAATAACCACAATAAAATGTAATTCTGGTAAAGAGCACATAATTATTTCCTATCAAGTCTACCAAAGAGATTACACTCTTCTGTCATCACTGAAAAAGAAATACACCTGAAGCAAATGTTGAAGATTCACATCAGGCTTCATCGCATGCCATTACTTACTCAGCTACCATGCTGTACCAGAGAGGACTGTGCACCCCTCCTCACCATCCAGACCACACTACAGTAGTCCTTCCTCACTGCCATTCAGGTCTCAAGCCATTTTTACCAGGTTCCATGCGCATTTCCAAGACTTCCCAGTCAGCTTCGGTAACATCCATTGCTTGTATAAACAGGAGAAACGCTTTGTGCAATCTAATCCTTCTGAGACCCATGACAGACTAAAGACTGACCTACAGACCAGTTTTACACACTGCTCCACAAGTCCTGAGACTTCCTACAAGTCCACAAGACTTCCTACAGCCACAACTCACAGTCACTCGAAGTTGTCTGATGGCAGGCAATAGCCATTAAGGGCAAAATAAGAAGTATCAATTTCTGCTGTGCAAATTCACTGCTTAAACAAAAAGCCTGCCTAAGCCTTTTGGAACAAAGACTGAGGCTATTACTCCTCTCCTGCCACAGCAGTTCCCAATGCAGGGTTATTTACAACCAAATGAGTTATATAGGTAAATACCAAATCATTAAAGAAGCAATGCATAAGCATGAATATGGATACTATGGACTTAATGGCGAGATATTGCCCATTTATTACAGTTGCATTTTACAATTTCTCTAATTCTTTTCCTTAGGCTAACTAGAGACCTCTTAATTATGCTCCCAAGAGGTGGGCAACAACTAATTGGAAGAGAATCAGGTGAAATAGAGGGACACTTCCTCTTAAGTGAAAAACAACAGCAACAAATAAAACCAACAAAAAAAGTTCATCTTAAAAGAAACAAACAAACAAACCTGCAATTCACCACAAAATGTAATGTAAAACCTACAGATCTCAAAGAAAGTTCACAGTTTACAGCTACACAGGGATTTGCACCAATTTGCTCCATAGTTCCAGGAAAATTGATTAGGCCACATTTAGTAAGTTCAAGTCCTGATACACAAACTCTGACTTAATGTGTTGCTCATACACCACCTGCATTTTATGCATTAAGCAGTCTCCTGATTTCTCTTCAGTTTACTTACTGAGATGTAAAAGAATCCAATCCCAAATTTATCAGGGTAATTGATGCAAATTAGAAACCTGACCACATAAATTGGAGTGATGTAGAAGCGGCACAGCTAAGAAACCAGAAGAGCAACTACAACAGCTTCCAGTGAGTACACAGATGAAGCAGGTTACACCCAAAGCTACTCAGAGGCTCAGAGGAAGGAACCCTTGTTTCCCAAGCAGCAGGAGGACGTGCCCCTCAGTTACCCCCTCCACCTTTGTAAAGGCACACACTGAGCAATGTGCAGATTTAGAAAATGAGAGAAAGGGAGCTTTAAAAAAATTTTTATGAACCAATAAAAACTCCAGAGGAAAGGGAAAACCGCACCAGTAGGAACATTTGTGCAGCCCCTGTGTCAGGGAGCTCTGCAGAGGGCTTTCTCAATGAACTATGTCAGCTGCTAAGAGATCTATCTCATATAAAAGGTGCTTTAAATTGCCTTAGAAAATTTTCTGCTGCTTCTGGTCGAAGCACACTTAATGACCAGTGGTAAAGCTCTGGACTGAGAGAACATGCCAGGCTGTGTCACAGCAGCCTAGTAAAGTCTTTTCTTATAGGCTAATTTTTAACACAGACAATGAGAGCAAAAAGAAAGAAAACAGACACAGTGGGAATGTTTTTATGCCACGTGAAAACCAAACTGAAACAAGCAGTGAGGAAAATTAATAGACTGTTTCACATCAAGGAATATTTAAACTCTCAGCAACAAAATAGATGGATGTGATCTGGCCAAATTTAAGTATCTGCACGTGCTTGGTTACTGATGCTTGGTAGCAGGAGCCCATTAACCAGTGCATTTGGCACCTGCTGGCATGCAGTCCCACCTCCTACAGCAACAGTTCATGTGCCTCCTCTGTTCTCTATTCAAGGAGGATGCAATTGTGCATTAAGGTGTGAACTTTAATGACAGAATTTCCACCAATTTTCTGTCTCCTCCACCCAAAATCTTTCCCTGGGCAGAAAATACATTGATGAGTGGTTCCTAATTAGAAAAAAAAATAAAGAAAGAAAGAAAAAGAGCTGCCCCTCAATGCACTAGGAATCAGATGACTGAAATCACTTTAACAAACATGAGCCACTGTTACTGGCTCTGCATTCCTAGCACAAAGAGCAAGCGTGGTGAGAACAAACATTTTGAAGATAGGGTTTTGTCCTTTCAGTTCTGTTAGGTACATGAATAAGGAGAGCAACTGAACATATTTTTTTTTTTTTTTTAATCCTTTTGAGAGGGAAGTGAGAAGGAAATTGATCTCTTTCTCCATCATAAGCTAAAAAAAATTAGCAAAGGTCAAGCTGCAAAAATCAGAAATCACAGTGGTTTGAAAATATGTGATGTATAAACAAAGGTAAAGGACATAATGCTTCAGGAAAAAAAAAGAGCTTTAACCATGTCAGTGAGACATTCACTATAAGCATGCTTGCAGCAGAGTTATCATTAACATGTAACAATATCCAATTATCCAATTCATCATCTTTCTCATAACAGCTCAGGGGAACTCTCCCCACTCTGAAGTTTCTCGCATTAAAGAATCTTCAAATGCCAAGAGGAGAATTAAAGTATTCTACCTTTCCAGTCTCTGGAAGCAGAGCTGCTTTACTTTTTTGTAGTTCTGGAAAGATTTAGTAGTCATCACATGTGCTGCCCCACGGAAATACAGCAGATTTCAAATTCCACAAACATGGAACTGAGATGCAGTGCATCAGTCGGGACATTAAAAGTTTCCTTTCCGCAAAAAGGCTCCACTGGAGCTCCAATAATTAAAAGCAAATAATCACATATGGAATATACTTTTTTCAAGACTTTCAAAGATAACAAGTAATACAGCAATCTGATACCCTTCAGCAATTTGCACAATGTTCAGAAGTTTCAGAAGCACCAACAGCACAGTCAGCATGCGCCAAAGGACAGCAAACACAGTGAACTGAAGGAATGTCATTCTCTGCATTTGTAAGAATGGAAAAACTCACATCACTTCAAATTTTCTTAAGTTTCCCTTTTAGCTCATTAAAATTCTTACATCACACTTGTGAAAAAAATAACAAGACAGTAATTAAAATTAAATTAAAATAAACTCTTGTGTTTTAAATAGTTTCAGGTCATTTCCCTGTAGAGACAGATTCTTATAAGCATCTGATTGCCTTAAGCCAGAAGGAGTGAAGCTGATTTCTCAGAACAGATAGGCAAAAATTACCTTTCTAATTTCACATAGTTACAAAATAAACTGACTCTATTTTAAGAAATATTATTATGGCACACAAATTGTTACTAAACCTAATTACTCAAACAATTTGTACGTGTGACTACCTCTCCAAATGAAGTTCATATCAGGCTAAGGCAATCTGTTGTATTTGTGAGCATGCAATTACAACCTAATAATAATATGTTTTAAAATCATACTTTTCACACTCTGGCTGGCTTATTTGTTATAAGGCAAGGTTTTACACCATGAAAGAATTCATTCAAGTACAGCTCAGTGTCTCATGTCTTTCTCTCTGGGTACACTGCCCAAGTGTTTGCTTTTGCACACCTCTGTACAAAGCTGTGGGATCTGGACTCAGCCCCTTTTTAACATGGCTTTGTCAGAAAGTCAATGAATATCTCATCTTCAAACCCAGCAAAAAGCCTCTTGTGATCCACATCCTCATCCTGAAAACTCCTAGCAGCATGTACCTGAAGAAAAAACTGGCAGCAGCAGCCTTCATGTGTTAATTACACATGCAAAGCCCATTATGCAGAGAAAGGGCACCTGCTGGCAGTGCAAATGACTAGAACCTGCCCTTCCTGTGCAGTGAGTAAATTGAAGGTTCATTTCTACAGGACATAATAGTTTTTAGATTCCATTCTGTGTATCCTCACAATAGGCACATACTTAACATTTAAATATTCTACAGAGGAACAAGCTTCCTTTAAATCTACATGTTTCAGCTTCTGGCACTTAAAAATGCTAGTTATCCCTGCTAGCTCCTTCCTCTTGCTTAAATGCAGAGAAAACGTCACACAGAACAGGATCACTCATAAAAAAAACAACAGAACACCCTCCCCCAAATCACCACGCTAAGAGCCAAATGTGAAATAGTATGACACAGTCACTTTCAGCTCATTTTTTTTCAGAGGACTTTTTAAACTGCCAGGGCTTGCAGTGAGAGAGGGCAGAGGTGGTGCTTTCATGAAGACTTCTTCCTTACTTATTTCAGGAATAGAAGCAGAGCTGACTGGCCCGTAATTCCTTCCCTGGATCTTCCTTCTTGCTTTTTCTAAAGATGTGTAACAGTTCTCTGAGGACATCCCTCACTGCCAATTCGTTTCACACACAGTGAAGCATGGCCTTACAACTTCCAGGAGCAAATGTCCTGCTTTCTCTGCCTTTTCTATCTTCTCCATCACCCATCAGTGTGACCATAGAGCATCAGGTCCATATTTTCCTTAGTGTTTTCCTTTTGGTTCTAGAACTGTAGAAGCCTCTATGTACTCTGTACATTCCTCACTTCAACTCAAGCCAAACTTTGGACTTCCTAATTCTATTCCTGCATGTCCAGGCAACTATTCCTTTAACTCTCTAGCAGGGCTTGAAATTTTAAGTCCCTGGACCACCTGAGGTAAGCGGGCAGCCACTCTTCCTGGTCAAACTTCATTTGCTGCTGCATACACGGTGGGAACAAAACCAGCAAGTCACACAAACTGAGTGACTAAGCCGAGCAACTAAATGCTGCAGGATCTTCAACTCCTTTGCTAATTACTCAGAATCCTCTTCCTCCGGTCCCATATGCAGCAAATGGGAGATATTACGTTATGGCTGATTAGACTAAACTGTTTGACTCTGTGCCAGAAAAGAAATTAAAAACCAAGAGACTGCTTGAGAGGTGCTGTAGATAGGCTTCTGAACAACTGACCACCAATTCCAAGAGATATTTAGTGACACTCTTATCTGGAGATGTCAGCTGCAAAGGTTTCTTAAGCCATACAGACAGCGTGGAATCACAGAACAATTTTTGTTGGAAGGGATCTCAGCAGGGCAGCTGCCCCAAGCTCATGGACAAAAGAGGGCCAGCTTTGACAATGCTTGGTATTGCTCTTGGGATGTGCCAAAATCTGAAACATCATGACCAAGAATAATTTTTCAATGAATTACAGTCATTTCCCTAACTAAGGTATACACGTTGTGTACACAACGAAAATATGAAAAGATGACTGTAAGGAAATGAATAGCTTTCTCCGCATCCCCCCCAAAAATTCAGGTAAGTAGAAAAACTAAAGTATGTTCTCCACTGTACCTTCGGCTTCCAGAGTCTTAACTCAAATTTTATGATTTGACATAAATATGCTGAAAACAAATTACAAATACAAAATATTTAAGTTGCAGCATTTCACAGTAACCAGACACATCAGTGTATTTCAACATACTAATACGCAATTACCTGATGACATCAATATTTCTTTTTACTTAGTAGGCTCACCACTTCCTTAATACACATATGTATTTCCAGACTAACAGTATCATCATATAAGAGGACTTATATAAGAGACTTGCAATACAGAAATGCGAATGCTGTTGTGAATCTAGATTTTATATGTATACCCACACACATACACAGACACACACATACATTATCATATACAAACAGCCTTACCAACAGTAGTCCAAGAGATGTGGGGGCAGAACAGGAATGTAAACATGTTGCCAGAACATTGGGTAGAGCATAGCTGCAGATCCATGAATGCAAGCAGTTAACTGAAACACACAGATTAATGGAAGAACATTAATAAGACAGAAAACAAACAAACAAACAAACCTTAAAAAGCTAATGATGCAAGAAAAAAAGAATCAAATTTGGTTTTATAACATGCTTTATTAGACAATATTCAGTGTTCCCATTAAAAAAAGGGTACCAGTGGATAAAGCACAACTAGTTTTTGGTGGTAACATTGACTGTCTTTGTTAAATAACTGAAAACACAATTCATTCAACAAACAAAACCTGAAAAGAACACCCAGTGTTTCACAAAGCAAAAGAAATACTGAAATAGAAACTCAAAAGAAAGAAAAAGATGGTAAGGGTAAATAAAACCCTAATCCTGGCAATTACTATCCATTAATACAATAAAAATGCACTGAAATTATAAAACAAGCTGAAAAATATTTAAGCTCAGGGAGGTACAATATCAGTAGCATCGTTTTCATAAGAATATACCACATCAAACTCAATGACCATATTTTTACTACTTAAAAAGTATGTTCATCTTATTACCCTCCACCAATCATTTGATCCAGTGATTTTTAAAAACTCATTCAGAATGGTTTTGACATTGGCAGGTACTGAATTAAAAAGCTCAAAAACAGCAAACAAAAGTGCTGGTCCAGCCCTGGGGAGAACCCCTGTAGTGCTTTGCAGGAAATTATGTGACGCAATTCCACATCCTTTCAGTTTCTCTTCTCCAAATCAAAAAGATGTCTAAAACCAAAACTGTTTAAAAATTTAATTTTTTACATAAGAAGTGATTCTATCGGGTTTAAATGGATTATTTCCTGGCATTACTGCATAGCATGGTTGATGCTGTAGAGGACTGAACTCAGTAATCCAAGAAGACCCCTTCCAAATCCCCCTTCCATTGGTTTTAAAACTCAGCAAGAAAAGATTAAACAGACATAATGCTCAACACTGCAGACATCTGAGCAGAACCTGTCACTTATTTTTGAGATGTACTCCCACCTTGCTATCTGGCATGAATTCAAATAACACACTACCTCATGTAAGCACTGCTACTGTCCTTCAACTCTGCCAAGATAAGGACTCATAAAAAAAAAATAGCATATTTGCTGGAGACCTCACCTGATTAGTGATTGCCATACAGAAAACAGGAGCTTAATAATAAGGCAGCCTGAGAAATGCCCAACTGTCAAAACTATAGGAATCCAGCATTTTAAAATAAGATTAGTTCCACTACCTCAGCTTCCTGCAGCTGTTGCTGGAGAACGTAAAAAAATGGCTATGTACAAAAGACACTGAGTTAGTGAATCGCATTCTGCATTTTTACCTCTAAGGTTTTAAAAGCAATTTAATCAATGGAGTTTTTTCATACATATAAAAATTACGAACTGTTGTTGAATTATAATAGGCCATCTTCCAGTATGTTTTACTCTCCTCCTACTATGGACACACAGTGCCCAGTGTTACACATGCAGTACACCACTACAAACATAATATGTAAATAATTACCAACATGTGAGTGTAAGATCATCTTTCTGCATCACTCGGGCTAAAAGCACAGCAGAAACATGAAGACTGAGTTGTACAAGAATGAAGCAGTGAAAACAGGGGTGCTGTAAAGACTGTGTATGGAGGTGAAAACCTGTGCTGGCAGCAGGCTGCAAGGGCTGCAGCAGAGCTCTTGGGAAGGAAGAATTCACGCGTGAAAAGGAGCAGTTCTAAGACTGCTGTAGAACAAGAACAGTGAGAGCTCAGCTACGTTGTATCACAAGGCCATTTAGTGAATGCTATTGAACACATGTTGTGTTTTCCTTAACCTTAGAGCCCTGAGACACCTCAGAAACCTATCAGGGAAGAAGAAGCTGGGCATTAGAACATTCTGTGACACAGGAGAAGTGAAATGGCAACCTCTAAGCCTTCAAGAACAAAAGACCAGAGTGGTATTTTTTTGCTTTGTAATAATACACCATTTTAATATTGCTTTATAAGTAATGAAATTCACTCCAATAAGATGGAGCCAAACAGAAATATGATCATATTTCACAAATTTAAGTTTTTTAAGACTCATCTAGTTTCATGTAAGCCATCTCTTTATGATGAAAGGCAACCTGCTGTCATCACACACTGCCAACGCTCCTTCCTGAGCCGGGGCTGCAAGGAAGGTAGGATGGGAGACAGAGCACTGGGCTTAAGGAAAGCTGGTGGCAGTTTGTAACTGCGTGCTCCCGCCAGTAGGTGCTCTTCTGTCCAACAGTTTTCATGTGTGCTGATTCACATTTGGCTCTGTATGAGTAGTTAGATCACAGAGTGGTTTTTGTGGCTGTTGTTTTTAAGAAAAAGTAATTGATGTTTTGAAAAATTACTTGAATTTCCTTTTGTAGAAAACAAAAGAAAAAAAATTGAAGAGAACAAAAATGAATCTTCCAGGGCTTTGGTACATATAGTTTATAAACTAGTCAATAAATACAGACCCACTTACCTCTAATTAGTATTAAGGATATTTCAAATTTTACGTGATTTACTATAGCATGAATTCATCCTATCATAAAAGACTTTTCTACTCAAGACTGCTTATTTTTCACTCTTCTACTTGATATTATATTTAAGCTTTAAGAATGAAGTGTGCTGCAGTGTGCACTGAAGTGTGCAATGGAAAGAATTAAGTGCACACAGGATCCCTCTACTTTTTTGTTATAAAAAGGAAACAAACGAACAACACACAAAAAAAAAAAAAAGAAAAAGAAAAAAAAAGCCAAACCAAGAAACCAATCCCCTCTCCACCACCACACCACCCTCCCTCTACTTTGAGAATTCTGTTTGGTACGTTTCCAGTTACAAGGTCTTGGCTTCCGCTGAGCACAGTTTGAAATAAAATAATGCAGCTTGTTCCTACTGCTGGAACATGCAGAGCAGAGCGTGCAGGCAAGGAATCACTGGCTCCGGCCCAACACTTCAAACCTGTCTTACACTGTCACTCCAATCTTGGAGCAGTTATATATAAAGTTGTAAGATAAGAATGCGCAGTATGAATACCCCTCCCTACCAAAGAACGAGACATGCTTTTATCTTGGACAGAGGCAAAAGGAAGAGGAAAAGCAGAAGATAGGAAAGAAAACACAACCCTACTTGTGAAATGGCTCATTAAGGAAGGCAAAGTGACAGGTAAGTAATTCTTCTTCCCAGGCTCTGTCACAAAGAGAGAGAGATTAAGCCAACCAACCAAACATTTTGAGATGCTTTGGATAGCCATTCTTTCCTCTTCTCTGTTAATTCCCTACTCTCTTCATTCCTCAGTTTAATAAAAAATCTCCTGTTTAAATTTTACTTAGTTTACTTTAGTAGAGAAGTCCTAGAACGCTTGGCAGATATAAAATTAAGATTTTACAAGTTCACTATGATACTGAGCTACATAACACTCCAATTCCATCAGTTCCAATCAGTGTGGGATTGACTGTAAACATTTAATAATTATTAACAGTTTCCAGAGATTACTTTAACTCTCCTAGATTTACTTACCTTACCAAAGAACATGAGAATAACTATTGTAATCTACTCTTTCCTTTTTCTGCCTCGTATCTTACATCCTATAACTTCAGCCTTTCACACAGTATTTACAATTCCATGAAGCAGTTTTAACCTCAATCACAAAGTAGGCCATGGTCAAACAGTAACAGGCTAGGTAATACCTCATCGAATGGACATGGAGGACTGTGTTTTAGAAAGGATCGTTTGAGTACTTAGGCCATAGAACAAGAAAACAGCATTTATTAAAACCCTCTTCTGCATACCATTCATAAAGAAAACAATCAATATCCATCTACAGAGCAAACAAATGAAAACTTAACATTTTCTTTTAGAAAGAAAAATCACAATGTGATTGACTGATAAACCTTCAAATGCCTAACACAAAACTTTGAAGTAAATCAAGCTCATGTTTGGTTTTGATGTGCAGTCATTCTTAGAAGAGAGCACTCCAGAGTGTTCGGTACCTTTTATCTCTAGATCCTCAATGGAGCCTAAACAGCATTGAGACTAAACCTTTTAAAACAAAATTGAAAAGAAAAAAAAAAGTGGATTGTCTTATTTTAGTCCAATTTTTGAGTCCACCCAGAGAAGGTATATGACAGTATCATTTATCAGTCTCTTTTTCTGCCAAATAAATTATGAAAAGCAGACTTCACTGTGGCTTGAACATTAGTATGCTTACACACCAAGAAGCCCAACAAAGAGCGTATCAAAAGACTTTTTAATTTGAATGTTAGAGAGGAAAAGAAGTTGGGTAAAGCCATCACTTAGAAGCACAGAACTGAGTTTAGGTTGCATGGCAAAGGCTGGAAGGGGCCCTGGAGGTCATCAAATCTGACCTCAACCGTTCAAAATATCATCAACTGCAGCTGTCTGCTCAGGGCACTGTTCAGTTTAAAATATCTCCAGGATATAAAAGGACAGAGACTCCATTGCATCTCCGGCCCCTTTTTGCAGGCCAAGTACATTCATGTACTTAATGCTTTTGTGAACTAAAAAATATATACAGATATTTCTTCAGAAAATAAACTTAAGTAACCTGAATGGTTAGTGGCACATCAATGTACACTTATTTTTCTAGAACTCCAGAAAAACTCCATGCCAGTCAACATAATTACACAGAAATTAATGATGGTAGTCAAACATAAAAGCAGGGCTTCATCTCTGCTTACTACGTCCTTCAACAAGAAAAGAACTTTTCACAAGTTTCTGGATATTCCCTTGTACAACTTTCCAAATTACATTTTCAGTAGGGACTTTCAAACATTGCTCTTCACATTCTAGATATTTCAGCTTATTGCCTATGTATGACTGTCATTAAAAAAAAACAGTAGTGTGAATAAAAGAAATTATTCTGCAGTTTACTTACAGTGCTGAGCTTACTACAACAAATGAGGATGCGGCGTTCATACAGCATACTGGCATAGAGATGCAGCATGTTGTTGACATCAACTGCTACAAAATACTCTGTCAGATTTCTCTACGAAAAGAGATAAAATAATTTTGATTCATGATATTACAAAACAAAGTCTTCCATTTAAAAACAACAACAAAAAAACCCACAACAGACTCCATCCTCTTGTTATGCTACATAGAGTACATGGCTACACACAGCAGGTCACCTTGTGTCAGACCAGCTTTTAATTAGCAATGTCTTCCCCTGACTTTTGGGGAGATAGGTCACAGATTAATGAAATTGAGGATGCTTCATACACAGTTCTAAAATACAAGATAATTCCTGGAGAAATAAAACCTGTTCTGTCACTTCTACAAAAAATGTCAATGCTGCCTGATGAGGCACAAAACTCATGTTCTAATACAACACTTTTACTGAGACAAATTCAAGTTTTTTAAAGAAAAGAAAGGGTAGCTCCAGTCTACATATCAAAGTAATTCTTATCACTGGAAATTCACACGGGCATTTAGCACAAGGTAAGAGCAGTTATACAGGTCATCTGATCTCTCTGTACTCTCCATAGTTGAAAAAACAAATTTACCTGACGGATGGATGTATTTATACAGCAGAAAAATAACTGCAGCACAAAAATTAAAAAAACATATATTTCATTTGCAAACTGCCTCTAAAGCACAGATAGGAAGAACCAAGACACAAGCAGGTAATGCTACTGGAGATGTGCACATACACCACCTGAGCAACAGTGGTTCAAAAAATAAAACACAAGGAAAAAAGCCAGAACAAAGCAAGTTTCATCCACACAACATCCCATCGGCCAGGAACAACACCCATACATCGTTACCAGTAACAGCTCGGGGCATGTGCTGCAGTGGCAAGAACAAGGTATTATTTACTAAGGAATTAAGATTATGGTAATAAGCAGTAGAATTAAAACTTACAAATGCAAACCTAAGATTTTTTACCAACAAGATTAGAAAGCTATCAGGTAGATAAGATCATCAAAATGTATGCTGTTGTCCCAGCATAAAAGCTTTGGCTGCATAGTGTGAGGCCAGCTAAAAAAAAAAAAAAAAAAAGTCTTTGGTTTACAAAAGGTATTTTCTTAAATCAGAGAAATTAAAAAAGCCGCAGCAGTGGAAATGTTAATACATGCAAAAATGCTGACCTAGGTAATTTGTTCCCAAATCGCTTCTTCTGGGTACGAAAGGGTTGCTACACACTAAAGGCAGACTTGTACAAAAAGCACATGTGAGAGCAGAATTGGATTAGTCATGAATTCAAGTGCAATCTTAATCATCCTTAAATAAAAAAGCACAGAAAAGCAAAAAGCAAATATGATTTCGAAACTTAAAGAAGCTCAACAAAGCCCATTAGCACTTTTGACAGATCCAAAGATAACTCTAAACCCACCAATACTTGGCCTGAGAAGTCTGCCAAGATGTTTCATACTGTGCAGAAATATGTTCCACAGCTTGCCATCCAAACACAAAGAACCAAAGAAAAATTAAGCCTTGTATTTGGAAGATTTTTGTGCCCACATCTACATTGGTAAAAACTAAGCTCATTAGAGTTAGCTTCAAACATGTTAACACAAAACAGTCATTCAGGTCTTGTTACAGAAGAGCTGTTGCAGCAGATAGGTACAGTCAAAAGGAGAAGAAAAAAAAAACAACCGAAAAAAAACAACCAGCCAACACATTTTGCCAAAAACCTATTAAACTATCATGTACTTTTTCTGTATTTCTCATCCCATCTGTGCTGATTAGCATGATATTTTTGTCTAAACATAAGCTGTCTTCTCTACATTTCTTCTTCCGCCTCTCACCCATCTTTCCACGACACCAAAACACAACGCATGACGACACAATTACTGCAAATAAATGAATTAAAAGAGTTCTCCAGCAACTCACTGAACTTCTTTAGCAGCCACCCAAATGAAGGGTACGGCAAAAGGAAAACTTAATCCCTACATTCTGCCTGAAGACGTAGGTAGACATGAACATGCACGTATATGTTTGTAAGGCAAAAGTATCGACTAGTGAGAGGGAAAACAGACACAGAGAATGGGTTTGTAATTATTCTTTCAAGTTTACTGTAGAGTAATAGTGGCTTTGACACAGAAACGTGCTTTCAAATGGAAAGATTTACAAGGCTTTACTCTTCCCTGTGCTCAGAAATTTGCCAACAGCACCTGCAAAGCATGTGGGCTGCATGGTAATGTATTGATACTAGGGAAATTCACGTGTTAGCTCTAAGTTGTATTTATAAGAAAGCTGTCATCTTTGAAGATGAAATTGGGACGTACACATGTATTTTGAAAGACATGTCTCATAAGTGACAAAACCATGAATGAGTTAAATAAATACAAATGAAAGCGTTCCAATTTGCAGTGTAATTGTTGCGTACTTTGTTTCCTAGGATTTAAACCTTGCTAAGAAGAAAAAAGAGCGGGATTTTCGTAACAGAATACAGGATCTGGTATCACCACTCCCCAAAATTCAGTAGAAATGGCTACAAAATTCCCTTATGTTTCTTTGAAAGTTCATTTGAAGAACAATCATCTCTTTGATCATCTGCTATTTAGTACCAGTAAATGGACGTGCACGCTGACTCTCAAGGTCCAGAACAGTCCTTTCTTTCTTTGTCATCTAATGAAAACTTTTCACTACAGGTACAAAAAGGCTCTCTGCTCTGCAAAGAAAGAGCGAAGCTCAAGCATATTAAAAACATGCATTATCCTTCAGCATTTTATGCTGCTGCTGAAAGGCGTTTACAGAATTTCTGTGAATGTTTTTTATTTGGACAGATCAGTAGAAGAGAACAAGTTTCCTTCTCCATCCTCCTCCTGGAAATCCCTCATCTTCTAAATATGTTTATTTCCTTTGTAATTTCACAAATTCAAAGTCTAACATGAGTCAGGTCATTTGTTATGCAGTTAAGATACTTTAATAATGCCACGCAGCAACTCCAGAGACCGGAATAACAAAGACAGTACGACAGTACTCCAGAAAACAGCATAAGTATAGAAATAAAAAGTGAAGGAGAATAATAAGAAAAACAGACAGTGAAAGATGTACAGTATGACAAATTGAAAAATAGGCACTGAGATAAGAGATGTAGCAATAAGAATTCCCAAAATAAAACTTACTAAATTTAACTTATTAAATTTAAAGACTTGCGCCATATTTCCCGCAATTAATTCAATTTCTCTCTGAAGTTACAGGGCATTTACAAACTGTAAAAGAATTATAAGAGTTAACGTTTACACCAAAGTGCCCATGCAAAATGCTTTGTGGCTCCTCACACACTGGTGTGATACAGGCAGACAACTGCAACAAGTATGTTAGCATTCCAAACAGTCCTGTGCAGTACTCCATTAATCACTGCATATGACTTCAAAGTTTGGTACTACTAAAACTTTGGCTAATAGGAGTTTTAAAATGTAATTATCAATAAGATAAGCAGGATTTTGAATAAAGCAGTCCAATTGATGAATGGAGATTCATGCTCATTTAATGTCCTTGTATTACTGCCAAATATGCTGCAATTCTACATGAAAGCCATACTGATAGATAAAATTCTCATAATGAATTACATGATAGCTAATAGAAAAAAGACAAACACATGAAAGAAACACAAAATGGTCAACTGCAACAAAAGTTAGACCGGTGGATCTGAATTTTAACAATTTTCTTTCATAAAATGAGCCCTATCTTTTTTAACTTGGGTGTGCATGCATGCGTGCACACATGCTAAAGAACAAAATGTTCTTCCACCTCTATTCCCAGAGGTGCCCTGGTTCACCCCAGACACTGTGCAGAGCTCATCCTTCACAGTGACATCAGCGCCCAGGATACCTACAGCAAAACAGCCACATTCCCTCAGAGGCACATCAGCACCACTCAGTGATTCAAAGAGGATGCTTTTCAGCATCACACAGCACTCCTTCCCATGAAGGCTGAACATTCAGCTTTCAAAGGGTTTCCAACTCCTTCTGGCCCAAGGCCTCTGCTTTTATAACTGCCTTTGATTCACGAGCATTCATCACATCTCCTGCTCAAATGTTTTGGGAAGCTGACTCATACCTTTGAATATGAAGTGAACACGACCAACAGACATAACGAACAGAGCATAAACACTCAGTAAAGGCTTCAGGAAGTATAGCTGTAGTGCATGCGTTAAGCTGCTCTACATCAGTTAAAGCAGGTCCAGGCCAGAAGACCTACATTTAATCCTGTCACTAGTTTCTTACTGCTCATTTTTCCTGCCTTTTAATTTACCAGCCTGTAAAATGGAAATGAACTTCATTTCTTGCTCTCCAGGAGATTTGAGGCTTACCAAATAAAAACTATTAAAGTTTGAGATGATCAGCATAAAAGAGATTACCACGAAATATCAATCCTATAAACAAATAATCATGTCTGGATTAAGACAGGAAATGCACTAGACTGATAGCCATTTTAGATTCAGAAACAGATTCTTTAATAACTGCTAAAGTACCACATTTCTGTAAAAATAAAGCATCTTAGAGCAAAAAGCATATTTACTGAATTTACTGAGGGGATATATGTCTGCATGGAAAGCCTATGACAGAAAAGTCACTAACAACATTTTTAAACAGACATAAAAAGCCCCAGGTGTAAGCTGCTATCCAAATCATCCACAAATGAGAAAGAATGTCTTAATAATTTCCTTCACTCTTTCTATTTTTTCCCCCCTTCTTTCCTTTCATGCCATAAATTTAAGTTTATGACGCTAAGGCAGACTTCAAAATACTCAAGTAAGAAAACTGAGATGTCAGACGCAGAAAATTGGCTAAGAGATGTAGCAGGTGCATATTAAAGAATATCTAAGAGAAGCAAATGCTAGCACTGTCTTCCCACAGGCCTATCATCTGGTAACAAATTTAAGCAATGCTGAAAAGCATACAAGACAATTTTGTCAGGTTTAAAAAGTCTCAGAAGAAGTGGCCCTAAATAATGCAGGTATATATTTTCAGCAAACTACCTAAGAAGCAGATCATGTTTTCCCAGTCTCCTATGTCATTCTTTCAGAAAGGTCTCACTGAATGAATGACAGATCCCCTTTTTTTTTCCCTGTCCATATCAATTTATCCATCAGTACTTCAATAAATTTCAGCTTGCAGTCACAAATACAGATGACAAACTCTTCAATGTTATAGCCTAAATATGATACAGAAGGAAGATGTCATCACAAATGAAAGAATGACAACTCTGCACAACAACAGTTAGAAACGTAGCTTTAAAGCAACACAAGAGTCTACAAACCTAGATGTTCCTCTGAATTAATACAAATATTTTAAGTAAGGATATGATGTCTGAATATACCCACAACATCTTAAAGAACAAGCCAAATTAGCACCAAAATGGTATTTGATCTATAGTTGATCTATATTACTATATACTAGCAATAAAAATGTTTGAAACATTGAACTCTTCCACTGCCTACATTACACCCTTGAGACACTTGAATAAATTTAAAAACAAAACCAAAAACATGCTGTTCCAAAACTTTTTTCTTTAACTAAAATTTATTTGGAACTAGCATGCTCTTTCTCTAACAGAGAAAAGAAAATACTACATGTTAATAATTACTTTCCAAATTCAGCTTTTAATTTCAGCTTCTGATACATCAAGAAAGCCAACAAAGTATGGAAACATCACAGAGAGCACAAACTTGAACCTAGATGCAAAAGAAAAAATTGGTTCCTTAGTTGTGAGAAGTTTCTTTTAAAGCATAAGTTGCTACAGAGATGAAATCAACTTCCTGAGAGAGATTAAAATCCTTTCTCTCAAACTTTGCATTTTACATAGAGAAGAATATTTGTAGCACTCCTCTAAGTGACAACCAAAACTGTCTTGGGATTACTTCCAGGAATTCTTCATATTCTTCTTGTAAAGTCCCACCATTCATGCAAATTCACATCATTGGTTCCCAGAATTTTTTGAAAGGCCACCACACCTTCACATGCAGACAGTTACCAAATCCCTGTTCTTTGCTGATTTTGAGCAGGCTAAAACTATAGATTTAAAATTTTCTCACTCATTAGGACAAAGAAATTATTGAGTGTTAACAGCTTGTAAAAATAGAGTGATAATAATACATGGCTTTGTATTTTTCGAGTAACGATTTCTACTTACAGCTTAAGATAATTATTCTGTAAATTTGCTACTCCCTCAGTCATTTGATACCTCTGCTTAATTAGCAGGGCAAATACTAAAAACTTCACTCTGGTATGATGTAGATGTACTTCAATAGGCCTTTTACTCCTGTACCTTTGCACTTAGAAACACCATTTTCTCTCTCTCACACCACTCAGTATAAATTAAACACCTAAATTTTATTTCAACAACCTGCAGTGTTTTACTGAATGCAACATATTATCAGGGCAAACAGAGGTAATGCTACCTATTTACCCTTTCTTTTTAGTATCATCAGCAAAATAAAGTGCATGGTCCTCTATTATACTCACATTTTCAGGTATACTAGGAAGCTCTCTGATGTCAGGCACAGTAAAGTAAGAGTGCTATAAAAGAAGAGCAAAACGTGATTATTTTGATATTGTCAAAAGCATTCTAAACTTGTGCTTCATATTAGCAGTTGCTCAACCAAGTAATAAGGACAAAACATTAATTACCAACTACCAAGATGACTTGCTTGTTCTAGATTTCAAAAGCTGAAATCTCAGATCCCAAATGCAACACGATATGTAATCAGGTAAGATGGCGTTCCTTTGTTCTGCAGGTACTGACACAGACAGACTTGCACAGCACATGTGACATATGCCAAGAAATATCCAAGGCAGTCTGTAACTCAAACTAGCTTTCCATAGCCCATGGCAAGCTGCACAGTGAACCAGGAAACAAAGGCAAGGAGGTCCTTTTCTAACTTTTTAGTGAGTTTCATTAAAGACAATAGTAAAGTTATGGAAATTTCCAAGAAATATGTCCTACGTTCTTACACCAATCTGTCAAATTATGACTGAAGTTCTTAGCCACTTTTATCTTCCTTAAAGAATTTGAAAGACAACTGATTTCCCATTTTCACAGGCCGTTATATTGTTAATTTTTTTTTAATTGACTGCGTTCCAAGAAAACAGCTTCATTCCAGTTCCCATTCTGATAACACACAACTTGCATGATTCTTGGTTACAGCACCGAGAAAGGAAAAGATTGTGCAACTAACTTGTCTTGTAAATTGATGTTACAACAATTTACATTGTATTCACAATGTTTACAATCTTAGGACTTTTTATTATTTGTTGAAGCTTTATAGGGTTGTATATCCTTGGCACAGTTCCACCACTGGCACAGTTTTCTTGTACACATCCCATACGTTTCAGTGCTTCATCAACAGTCCGTAGGCTGAAACAGCCAGCAGGTGTACCAGCTACACTGAGCACAATGAATTTCTATAAACACAACTTTTGCTTTTTGATACACCACTGTTTTACTTGGCTAGAAAGATGAAGAAGCACAGTAGTAGAACACACAACTGTATCACATTTAGGAGCCTCACTCCAATCCCAAGACAGCCTTCCAACAGCCAAAATAAAATGCATAAAGATATCCTAGCAAACACTCCTTAGTCTGCTTCTTGATACATTTTCTTGCTTCACTGCACATGAAATGTCTGAGGCAAGGGGAGAACAGCAGCATTCCGTGAAACCACTGGTATGAAAAAAAAAAACCTGAATATCCCAAATGATCACTGACTTTCAAGACAGCTCTTCCTTTGGTCAAAGAGAAATGCCATTCATAGAACAGCCAGCCTCAAAAGGACTGGAGCATTTCTACTTCCAACTGGTGACCTGAGCAAGGCCAACAACTGTTACCTGTCGACAGACATCACAGAGTGAAGTGATGAGAGCAAGCTGGTGGTAGCCAAAAAATACTTTAGAAGAAGGACTAAAGGCAAAGAGAGTGGGAGAAGAAAACTGGCTGCACACATCACTTGTTTCCATGTGAACTCCAAATGACTAATTGGCAACTGCACCAACATGCATCTTTAGTACTTTTCCACTACAACCTGGTACAGAAAGTAGTTCCACAAAAATTAATTTGAATACAGACAACCCAAAAGACTAATTTCAAACCACAATCCCTTCAATAAAATCCCACATCTATTCTTTCAGTGGTCTTTGATAAGGTTTCTAACAAAACATTTATATGAAATAAAACCTTATTTGCGAATGTTTTTCCTGGAGAGAGGAGAAGTTAGAAAACTCAATTAACAGCTAGCAATCAGAACACTGTTACAACAGTACATGACTGCTTTCCAGTCTTGCCCCATGCACGCTCGCATGGTCTAAGAGCTCTGCAGAAGTGTGGACAATAAATGTCATGCTGCTGCTCTGTGACCTCTAGCAGGTCGCAAATGATACGGTGAGACATTTCCATGGGGAGTACATACAATCCTCCTCCAATGAAAGAACAGCATTTCAAAGACATGTGAGGTTAAGGAAAGGGAAACAGAGGGCCTCAGATGTGAAAAGGGGAATTTCACAGCTCTGAGTCCTCATAGGAAAACAATATCTACATGCCAAGTCCCAAAAAGGAGAACTGCTTTGGACATTTCTCTATTATGGCAAGCAATGAAAATTAAACACCTCAGTTTACATCTTATTTTACTCTTCACTTACCAATCCAAGCTGAACAGGGGTTTTTGGCTCAGGGATGCTAAGTTTATGAAATGTTTCCAGAAGCTCATTCCTTTGATTATCCTGAAATAAGAAGAAAAAAAAAGAACAAAACAAGAAAACAAAGGAAAACAAAGTACGCATTACTACAACAAACTAACTGGAAAACAGAAGGATAATGTCTGTTATGGGGGGGGGCAGAGAACAGGCAGGTGTTAGAATGGCTTGATACATCAGAGTATGCACAGTAATAAACGTAGTTTCCTCTGATAGCTGATCTTATAATTTTTTTTAACATTATTTTATCCCCACATACATATTTTCACGTTATTTCTGCAACCTAAGTCACCAGTATATCAGTACATAGTTACTCAGCTTGGAGCAAGCCAGTTTGCACTGCAAGTCCTTTACAGCAACTCATTAGCTTAGGCTAAAACAAGAAGTATTTAGCCCCCGTAGAAGAAGATACAATCCTACATGACTGTACCTCAAACAGCAATGTTTCTGACAAATGCAAACTAATTACTGCAAAATAAATCAAAGCAGTAACCTAAGATTATAGTTGCAACATTTTAAATAGATGAAACTAAGCTAGACATTGCAATCGTCATCTCTCTGTATCATGAACTACCTTTCATAAAACTAGAATCAAATTTTAATAGCTTAGTTTACATTCTTACATTACCTCAAAACTCATTTTTATGTTGTTTTGCTTTCAAAGCAAAACCAGCATGTAAAAGAGGTAGGCCAGATTAAGCTACCTGGGTCAGCATTTTGCATCACTAAACTCAGTTCTTCACTTACTTTACGTGACAAGTAAGGTTTGATAAGACATTGATCTGCTCAAGGTGCATGAAGCACCACGATCTGGGAACTGCATGATGTGGTGAACACAGCTCAGGTCATCAAAAAGTTTAAGTGACTGCAGGGAAACCACTAACTTGAATTGGATCCACAGTCACAGTTCTTAAATGCATTCTTTTCTCAAAAACAATTTAAAAGCTGATTTACTTTTCACAGGTGGTTGACAAACTTTCAGCCTAGCTGAATAAGTACTTCGCTATAAGTGCATAATAGAGATTCATAAATTCACATGGCCATGTCTGCTCTCTCTTAAAACAGCTTGCTTTTCAGTCTCTCTCCCACGTTTTGATATTGGGGCAGGGAAGAGAAGGGTTAGTACTTTAGAATAATACCTGTCCTTTTGCTGAATAATCTGCCAAGACATTGAGCAGCTTATAAAAGACTTCAAACCATGGTAGGTAACTAAAAAAAAACACACACAAAAACAAAACAAAACAAAACAAAAAAAAAAAAAAAAAAGGAAGAAAAAGCATACATTTAACTTGTTAAACTTCAGTTAGTAAATCCAAGATCACTGGCTATATTTACTTGCATCCTCAACAACAGTCTTCACTGGACACACTTTGCACACATCTGCTAGGAAAGTCACATTGGACCTTCACTGAAGGACTGATGTGAAGGAGAGCACTGCAAGAAGGCTGAAGCATCCCCTTCCATTGGCCACTGAGCTTCAATAATAACTCCTTCCCAGAGTTTCCAACCACTCATGGGCACCTGGCTTAATACACATTACTGGCTGTAAATAAGCTTTGAGAGCAGATCAGTGAATGCCAGAAGTCTGCAGGAATTTCTTCTCACCCCACATGAAACAAACATTCAGATTGTTACGCAGATCCATCAAAGAACTGCACACAAATTTACCTGTGCTCATGTATGGTAGAATATTTTAAATGATAATTACCCAAAAAGTACAGCTAGTTACTAGTCTTCAGTATAGTTGCTGAACATCAGGAAACTGAATATAAACAGCTGTTTTGGGTTTGAAAACAGACACAACAGGCTTCTTTATTTACTTTATTTACATTACAAAAGCAGTATCCTGATTTTTTTTTAATAAACCATCATGACTACTAAATCTTATTCTGCATCCTATATCACTGCATTTAGCTCAGCTAAGTTAGGTCACACTGAAGTAAGTCTGCCAGCAACTTACAAAAGCATCACGTTAAACAAAGACACAACGCTCAGAAAATCCCATCTTTTTTATTTCCCTTACATCCCCACTCAATAAAATACGACAACTAAGATGTTATTTTTCACCATTTTGCTTTGGCCTGATTTTGGACCACATCTTCATGGCACAGCTCTTTATTTCAGCTCCCTTTTAAATCCCAGCATGGAATTTCCCCTCAGCTGCAGCAAATGGGAAAGAAAGTTGACATGACGCACAGACTGACTCTTCTTTTAATCACAGATGCTTTCTGAAGCAAATGGATTCTATTTTGATAGAGTTAGACAAGATTTAAAGTTTTTATAAAATATGGCTGCATCCTGACATCTATAAAGAATGGAGTGCCCTGTGTTTCCTAACTGTACAGCTTTTAGTAATAAATGAAGTGAGAAGCTATATATGAGACAGATAAAGTGAACGGCACTCCATCATTATCATTTGTTTGAAGCCTGAAAATGCTACTGTAACATGTAAGTAGCTTATCAGAAAACACTGATAAGAAACTTAACTTTTCATGCTATATGACAGTATTATCATTTAAATTAATATGCTTTAAGTATCTTTACAAACAGTGTATTAGAATAGAGCAGAAAGACAGACAATTACCACTTTAAACAGCATTTAAGTTTGGCATATATTGTAAACATTCAAGAAGGATTAGGCAGAAGATAGGTTTCTTTTTTTCTGTTTAGTTAAATAAACTTCAGCGGAGTTAAAAGCCATTACAAGAGTAACAAGAAATCCTCTCAAAACCTATCTGCTAAGTAGAGATTAAGAACCCAGGAAACAAATCCTTGCAAGCTATCAACCAAAGATAGTCAGAAGATGAAAAAAACAGAACACCAGGAAGACAAAAAGCTCGCCAGCAGAATGAAAACCACAACTTACTTCAGGAAGGCACATTTAAGTTCTGCTTAATTGCTCAGGAAATAAGTCCGTGTCTGAAGCAGATCTCAACACAACACGATACAGAGAGGGATTTATGCTTGTGCTCAAGAGAGGTGCAAGACAACAACAACAACAAGATACTCTGGAAAACTCTCAAAAGCTGCTGATTCAGCTAAAAAGTTTAACAATGTCTTCATAAAAGAATTACACCAGTGCTAAGTAGCTTTGAAAAAAATCTATGCATTTATTACAGATCTAAATATTCAGTCTGGGTTCACATGACACATAAAAAACACAAAAAGAAATCAGTTGTGGAGCTTCCATAAAGCGACTTCAGCCAAGTCTGACATAATGAATATATCATGTAATCAATCACTTTAAGCTCTGCCATCTTACTCTACTATAATATCCGTGTATTTACCCTATCTATTACACATGAATTGTATGGCAAATTTATTACCACAAGAAGTTACACTTCTGGAATCCGTGGGAGCTCCTTCTGCTTTTGAAGAGCCAAAGAGGTGCATGACCAGCTTTAAAATTCAAATCAATTCAATATTTTAAACGTTTAAGGTCCCGTAGAGTCCTGCAGGTATTTAGACTACTGAATTGCTATCACAGACCAAGAAACAGTTATTTGAAGCTTTTTCGAGATATTTGTCACAAAGAAGAAAGGTGTGGGTTGTGCCTCTGAGCAGCCCCTGCCATAGAGATGGGGCAGAATTCAGTCAGACTCCTTCTGTGCCACATGCAGCTGAAGCAGCACAACTGGTAGCACTGCTGAAGATTTATGGCTTATGACTTGCTCATATTTAATTTGTAACCAAACACTTCCCCTTCCCCTTAGCTACCTTAGAAGTTTTGATTAACTCTTGTTTTCACAGGTCAGAGGTTAAACAAAGGAAGGGAAGAGCTCTGCAGTGAAATTGCCCAGAGCACCACAGCATGTGAGCACGCACACATGCGTGCACACAGAGACACACACAGAGACACACACACACACAGACACACAGACACACATACACAGACACACACACACAGACACACACACACACACGCACACAGCTGTACAAACAACACAGAAAAAGGTTGTGGATGGGAGGTTATTCACAGAATTTGAAGTTCAAAGACCCCAAGAAGAGGAATGTGGCTGCAGAGCAAACAAAAAAAAGGCAATCTGAAATTTACTTTTAAGTTTAATGTTTTCAATTTCCTCACAAATGCGTGTGTGTGTGTGTGTGTGCGCAATGCATTTGTCACAAATCACGACAGCCAATTCCAGCCTGACCCAGGCAGGCAGCGAGGTCGGCACTCTGCTTTGCTCTCCTCCTGCGATGCAGCTCACTGCTGGAGACAGGCCAGTCTGACGGGAAACAAACATGGGCACAGGAAAGCTGCTTATTATGCTACATAAGGTCTGCACAAACTCCACTGCACAAGTCGCACAGTACCTTATTCAGAAACTCGTATGTCATCACCTTTTTAGTGCGCTCCTTGAAAGCACAAAACATCATTAGTTACATGTGTCATAGCAATTAGGGACAGTCCAAACGTTAAGACAACAGTGCTGCACTCCAGCTTGTAAACACAAATGTTTCCAAAAAGCAGATTTTAAAGAATACTGTTGCAAAACCAACAACCGCTTGAGACAACAGGAAAGATCTTTATTTCTTATGTACAAAAAGAAACAAATGAGCGCAGTAACAAACCCAGCAGCTGTGCGGATGGCTGGTGCTGCTGGGAAGGGGCTCTCAGGGCTGCAGGAAGCAGCAGAGCCCCTCACACCCCGCAGACCCGGTGGCACCGGGAGGCAGAGGGCAGCGGCCGCACGGCAGCTGTGTGCAGGGGCAGAGCGCAGCCTGCACCCCACGCCTTACGTGGAACAGAAGATGTCAGCACCCAGCGCGAGCTGCTGCACAGATGAAAATGCTGTACTGCAGTCAACTGAGCTTTGAATTTTTCAACGTATCAACCCACTTGTGTGTTTTAGCGTTTGAAAGGAAAAAGCTACAAAAGCAGCACATGTGAGGTCACATTTCTGACCTCCAGAAAGAGCAGCAGCCAGAAGAGCAGAATGTGGAGCCCTCCTCCCTGAAACGAAGGAGCTGCCCTGGTTTGTGCACGCATATGTGAACAGCATGCAAACACACACAGCCAGATCGAGTCTGCACAGCAAGAAGTTGGGGAGCCTGAGCAGAACCTAGCTGCTGCTAGAACTGAGGACCTTCCTCCTTCTTTTGTTATACACTTAGTACAAAAGCTTAAAAAAACAAACAAAAATTACTAACACTGTTTGTAATGTAACTATAAACTACTTCCAGTCCAATCACACAACAGAACGTTAATAGAAATTAACACTTCATATCCATAGGTACTATTTGATATGAACAAGTAGAAAAGGCCTCAAGAGCGCATTAAAAAGAGTTGCCTGATTTTAGTTCATTATTTGCCTAAACCCTCTCCTGGTCTGTTTAACATAGGTAATCCTGAAAATAAAATTTCAGTATGTACAACCCCTCATGTTGCTCAGCTTACAGCAACAGGTACATGGGAAAACACCGCAGGCTTCACTGTACTGCTCCTGTACTCTGTCTGCCACGCGGTTCCCCAGTTTAGGATATTCAGTGAAAGTAAACTTTCTGCTCTGAAAATACTGAAGAGACTGAAGAAATACCCTTCATAACATCAGTGCTTTGGCTCTTAGCTAACACGCCAGGATCCCTGACAGTAAGCTGTGGGGCTTGAAGCTGTGCAAATGCTCCAGTGCTATCAGCATCTAACAACTCCTCCCCAGTGATGGCACAGAAAGCCAAGATAGCTGCATTATGACACCTGCCCACATGTAAAGATGTATCTAATTTAATTGAACAGAATTGGCCAACAAATAAATAAGAAAACACAGCATCTCTAGCAACAGCAAAGGAAAATATCCAAGAAAGCTGCCTACACATGTATGTTTTATCAAATAAAACATCATTTCCCCAGGGAAAAAACAACAACAAAAACAGCTGTTTCTTATTCAGTTACAAAGCATTGCTAATGAATAGAAGTTTTGATAGCAAATATGCTTTCTTTGAAATGTGAAAATTTCACCATTATTGCTTCTTCAGACATCTTTTGAGTGCTCATTACGATGAAGAAGAATCAGAGATACAGTGAGTAACACTCAAATCAGCACAGCCACTTCATGAATACTGTGCACACCCAAGGTCAAGTGCAAAGAGAGGCTGACAAAGTGGCCAATGCTTTGGAACCAGGAATTACTGCCAGAAAGTGAAGTCAGCTTAAAAAGGCAAATCTTTTTTGGTGCTAACTGTAAGAAGGCAGCAAAGGAGGAAGCAAT